CGAATGCCACATCAGCATGCTCTCATCACCAATCATACATTCCGCCTGTCACCACGACAATCAATGTCGTCTTAGCCTTCCGGCGCACACCTCTCTACCCAGGCTGTGCGCCTAATATGGCCTGACGTCACAAGAACCAACTGCGAAGAAGCATCGTCAACGCACCAAGTCTGTATAACGCCATCGCACCAAGGTAAGTGGTGAATCAAACCAGCTCTGATACCAAATTGTGAGGAACATGAATATGGACGAAGCACAAAAATCCAGATTGCAAAATCACACTGAAGTCCAAGTAGTCAAAGCAAGAGCAGATAGCACAATGGAACCGAGTAACCATCCATTTGAGAACGATACAGAAGAATCGTGAGTCAATGTCCATGCCCAACAGGGCAACACCAACAGCATACCCAATGTAGCTCTCTCTCCTGAATGGCGCCAGGCGCCCTATCTACTCTACAGCCTAAGCCTACAACTACAGCAATGAAAGCAACCAGACAACTTGACGACCAGCGAGTGATGATGTCAACACCAATGCCGACCTCCCACCTCCACCAGGTACGTCTCCTTCTTCACCCACACTCTCCCTTGTTATCCCACACAGCGCCCTTCACCTCCGAAGAACCACCTTCGCCCTCACCTCCCCTGTGCCCTTAGGCAGCCCGGCTATGGCCGCCAGCGCCCTGTGCACAGGCAGCGCCCTACCGCCTAGCGCCTGCCTGCCTCGCACCTCATCCTAGTGCAGCGCAGCAGCTTGCATTAGCGCAGTGTGCCGACATTGCCCGCAATCGCCAAGATCCCTGCCCACTCGCCCTGCTTGCCTATATGCCAGTGTTGCGTGTGGGCGGCCTCCCTTCAGCCTGCGTCTGGGCCCCAGTCGCTGAACCCAGGCCCGATGCAGTTGAGGCCCGGGGGATGCAGTTGCACCTCTTTCGTCAAGGCCTGCGGCCAGATTCAGATGGTGGGCCGATTTCCCTTTGGCATTTTCGGCCTCTATACCCAGCATGCATTGTCGGCCTCACGTTCAAGTGCCCAGGGCCTAACTAACTCAGAGGCCCTGGGTTTACCCCATTTGCTGAGATCCGAGACTCGGTGCACTCCAACCAACTGGCGTGCTGCAACTGTATGGACCCCACTTCGTGAAATGTTTGCACAGAGGGCTCTTGTTGATTTGCTGGCCCGCCTTCACTTAGGGCGGGCACGAGGCTTGCTGGGGCCTTAGCCCAGAACATGTACATCATGGCAAGGCCCCTTCTTGAGGGCTCAATCCGCACACAATTCTATTCCTTTCTTTAAATCTACTTCCACGTCTTGAGTTGTAGAACCTTTGATAAGCCGAGTCTCGTACCTCGCGGCTTTGCATACACCTCGGGTTGGCCCTGAGGGAAACTATGAAACTCGGCCTTGTCCAATTAAGCGGGGGTCTGCACTTTTTCTTTTTGTACGATTGCATGTAATTGTGTGTCTGTCCTTGTGCAGGTGGCAATTAGAGTACCGCGGCCGAATAGTGGCAGCGCAGAATAAGAACAGTTACGGAAAACAGTTGGGAGTTCCTCTTTTCGATTTTCTTTTTGATCTTGAAATCGCGCGCATAGCCATTTGCATATGCAAGCTCCCTTCCCGCTCTTGCATGCGCGCCAACTTCCTCTTCCTGTTTTGTGACTCTTCTCCTGCGCATCTCCTCGACTTCCTTCTTCGGCCCGGAGATCGGTGATTGGTTGGAAACTGGGTTGGACGGATCGAGCCGTAAGAACGGAATGTGTGCATGGCTCTGGCGGCCAATCCAACTTCCGTGAAGTCCCCAATCCTCCTGCCCCCCCTTCTCTTGCGGAACAGATTATTTGACGTTAGTTGGGCTGGTTGGATCAAGGCGTCTGAGCGTATCCGCACGCGCAGCTTGAATGACCATCCCAAATTTTCGAAAAAACAATTTTCCCGCCTTCTTTGACGTTCTGGAATGTTCTTTCCTTCTGTCTTCCTCATCTACCCCTCCTTCCCCCCCCTCCTCCCCCCTGCATCACATGCTGGTGACCCCTCGCCTTCAACGCTATAGATTCACGGGGCGCTCTCCTTTCCTCCTCTTTGATCTTGGCTGCAATTCTGCACGAGCTATGCGCGAAAGCTGCAGTGCCAAACAGGCTCGACGTGCCCGGGCGTGGGGTAAGCTCAGCGGTAGTTTCGGGGGAAGGTAGTCCGAGGGATGAAGCGGTGGTTGAGACGGAGGTGCTGCCAGTGGCAGTGCCTTGTGGCTATGCTGGCGTGCCTTTGGTTGGACTTGGTTGCTGCGCATGTGGGGTGCCAGCTTTATTGAGATTTAGTCTAAATTTGTGAGGGAATTCTGCTTCTTCTCCAGCGCTGCTTTGTCCGAGTGTTCGTGTGTGCTCAAGACTAAGTGTGCGACTAAGTCGTGTGCATGGCCTTGGTCACAAGTGTCAAATGGTCACATGATGCTTCACTGTCAAATAGTCTTTGTGTGTATGGTGTGAATGCACAATTGTCCGGTCGTTGATGGATTGCGTTCACTCTTCTCAGCCATCTACATGGATGTATGAGTGTGCTGACATCTTCTCAACCTCCATTAATTCGGTGAACTCCGCGCCACGCGTGGGTGAAGATCGCCATCCCCGCCCTCTCTTTCCACTTCCCGCACCCATTGCCCCACAATGCACCATGTGGCTGGCTTTTGTAGTCACCCCACCGGCCTTGTTGCCATCTGAGGCAAGGTCGTAATTCTCTTTTAGTTGCTACCGAGTGTCGAGTTGGGGTACTCTGATTGGGTGTTGGATTCGGGTCGGGATTACGTGGGGATTGTATGGAGTTGCGGCCCGCTCGCGTGAGTGTAAGTACAGGTACCTGCCCGTGCTCGACCCTTGCATCTATCCGCCATAGCAGCGTTCCCACCTTCCCGATCGCAGATGAGGACGGACTCTACTGCCGTGGATGTGCGAAGGGCACTATTGCGGACCGATCGGCCTCACCTTTATAACCCGTCAAATGGTTGCCACATAGGAGGGGAGGGATTTGTATTGACTGATCAATTTGCATCACCCCAGCTGATCTGGCCTTATTCGGATTTTACGGTGCTCGCCTGGTCCATGGCGCATGCCGTGTGGTGACCTCAATTTAATTGTTGGTGATGCAAGCTCGGAAACTCGTGTTCCTGGCGGCGGTTGGTGCTGGGGTACGAAGGGTCCATCCAGTTCCCAGACCTCTCCCGTAACGTGGGTGCGCTCCCGACAAAATTCCGGTCCTGGGTGGCCCCGTGCCCAGCACCATCAGATAGCGAGGCATCCCACCTTTCTGACGGCCGTGATTGACTTCATCCCCATCGCAAACGAAGCCCCCTCTTCCCTTAACCTTGCTAAAGGGAGGGCGTGTATATCAAATAATATAGGGTCTCTGTTCATTTGTTTATCGGGTTTCTGTTTCTTTTGCGGAAATGTCCCTGTAAGCTCAAGCAATTTTAGTAAAATCCCTGTCTTTCTAATATTGTGATATTATCTGGGTTTGATAGG